TGATGGAAGTCCAGCCAGAAGAGCATTGCAGTAGTCCAGCCTAGAAATGACAAGAGCCTGGGCAAGAAGTTGTGCAGCATGCTCCGTTAGAAAGGGCCTGATCTTTCTGATGTTGTGCAATGCAAACCTACAAGATCGAGCAGTCTTTGCAATGTGGTCTTTGAAGGTCAGCTGGTCATCAAAGATTACACCAAGATTTCTGACCGAAGTTGATGGGGTAATTGTAGAAGAACCTAGCTGGATGGTAAAATCATGTTGTAGAGTTGGAGTGGCAAGGAAGACAATAAGCTCAGTCTTTGCCAGGTTGAGCTGTAGGTGATGTTCTTTCATCCATGCCGAGATGTCCGCCAGGCAGCCTGAGATCCGTGCAGCTACCGTTGGATCATCTGGTTGAAATTAGAGATAGAGGTGTGTGTCATCAGCATAGCAATGGTAGGAGAAGCCATGTGCCTATATGATGGGACCCAGTGATGTAGTGTATATGGAGAAGAGGAGGGGTCCAAGAACTGATCCCTGAGGAACCCCAGTGACCGGTTGATGTGCTTTTAGATACCTCCCCTCCTCAGGCCACCCTTAAAGACCTACCAGTGAGATAGGATTCAAACCAGCTAAGTGGAATCCCTGTGATGCCCAGTGATGAGAGTGCGGACAGGAGGATCTGATGATTGACGGTGTCAAAAGCAGCAGATAGATCCAGCAGAATAAGAACTGATGATTTGGAATCAGCTTTTGCAATCCGCATGGCTTCCGCGACTGACAGTAGCGCAGTCTCAGTTGAATGGCGACTACTGAAACCTGACTGGTTAGCGTCCAGTTTGTTGTTCTGTGAAAGAAACAATGATACCTGGTTGAAAGTAACTCGTTCGAGGGTTTTCGCTATGAATGAAAGGAGAGAGACAGGTCAGTAGCTATCTGTAAGTGAAGTGTTTAATGTAGGTTTTTTGAGCAGTGGGGTTACCTGAGGTTGCTTGAATGCAGTTGGGAAAGTGCCTGCGAGGAGAGATGTGTTGATGATGTGTGTGAGTGCTGGTAAGAGTGTAGGAGAGATTGCTTGGAGAAGGTGTGAGGGGATTGGGTCTAGAGGGCATGTTGTAGGATGGCTGGAGAGGAGAAGTTTTGATACTTCTGCCTCAGTGAGGGGACAGAAGGAGAAGATGGGAGTTTTAGCAGTGGATGTGGTTTGAGGTCCTGTGTGTGTGTGGGGCTGAGAATTTACTTCTGATTCTTCTAGATTTGTCTGTGAAGAATGTGGCGAAATTATCAGCTGTTATAGAAGTGGTGGGAGGTGATGGAGGGGGACAGAGGAGAGAATTAAATGTTTTGAAATGTGTTGGAAATATGAAGATTTGGCAGTATGGACTTCAGCAGAGAAAGATGAAAGCAAAGACTGATACATACTCAGGTCTGACGGATCTTTTGATTTGCACCATTTTCTCTCTGCTGCCCTGAGTTTGGTCCGATGCTCACAAAGAACATCGGATAACCAGGGGTTGGAAGGGGCAGCCCGTGCTGCCCTGGAGGAGAGAGGACAAATATCATCTAGATGAGGTTAAAGTAGAGCATAAAGTCTCAGTTGCTGCATTCACATCCAGAGGTGAGAAATGGGTAGTTGAGGGAATACTACAGAGAAAAGATGGGAGGGTGAAAGGGAGCGTAGGTTTCATCTAAAAGTAACCGGTATAGAGATTGGTGGCACACAGGTAGCAAAATGTAGTTTAAATGTAATGAAGAAATGGTCAGAGATATGTAGGGGTTCTACCA